TTTGGGTTCAGTATCTTGCCCAAGGATACTTTGACATGCAGACTGGACAGATTGGGCCACCAGCCTTCTGACTGGCAGACAACCCTCTCTATATCCTGAGCTAATATTTGCTTCCAATATTTGGGAAATATATTAGAAGCTATTATTAGCTTAGCATTTCAGTTATCACTTACAGGCAATTGATAACAGATCTTTCAAGGAAGTAAGGCTTTAAAATGTGAGTGGTGAATTTTAGCAAAGTGAACACAAAGCTAAAATTTACATATAGCCCAGGCTAATCAACTGCGTGACCGTTAAAGCCCTTCTTCCCTTTGAACCACGAGTCCATCAGACCATTATTACTTTTTGTGTGCAAATATATGCAAATCAGTCTGGCCATAAAAGATATTACAAGAGATATCTTAACTTAACATCTTAACCTCCAACTGTAGTATTTTGTATATACCTGACCTGAGAAATACATTTATCCATCAACAGATGACAGGATTGTCAAGAAGTCAGTAAAAATTATTACCATATCAGTCTAAAAAGAACAGACTGCTTTAGAAACAATGGCGGTAATCTGTCATCGCTCCACTACTTCCTGGCTGACATGACGCGTTTTCATGAAAGTGTCTTTCGTGTCGTTCATCTACTTGATGTCTCTACATTTTATAATCTCTTAAAATCCTAACACCCTGTATTTCAAATGTCAAACAGCAAGCCAATGCAGCTCCAACCTTCATGCAGTTCCAAAGAATCCCACCAGGAAATTATGCAAGCGAAAATGAAAGAAATACACTAAAATAAAAGAAAACATAAAAAACCATTGAGCGTCACAAAGGTAAGTCTTTCAAGTCTTTCAAGTTGTCCCTTTAAGAGGTAGTCATGCAGTTAGTGAAAAGAAAAAGATGAGAATTTCTTTCTTGGACCTTGCAATCAGATACCTCCCCTTCCTAGTGTGTTCTACATAAGGAAGTTTCATTCTTCATTATGCATGTCAAGGTAGCAAAGATTCCAGGAAAGTTTCCAGGGAAGTTACTATCCCGTTTCAGATTCGTTGAACTTGCAAGTTCTCACTTTCTTGGGGAAAGTGAGAACTTAGACACGGTCACAATGTGCCTTTAAAGGTATCACTGCTTGATAGTTCAATTACGTGTCCAAATGGAGTCATTTCCTTTGCGTCCATTATTTTCACAGAACAAAGTTCGCCTGCAGCATCACAGGGAACGGACTTACCACAGAGCAGAAAACTATTGCTACACCTCTCCCATTGAACCATTTGAATAACTAACACCCAGTCTTTAGTGGTTTAACCTTCAACTTCATCAACACCTCGTTTAGGACAGCGTCTACTGTTAAAATCCCACAAACCCCTGAAAAGGACGTCTGACTTCCAACATGTGTCATGTTGTAAAGAAAAAATTTCATCAATCCGATCAAACTGAAAGTTAAAGTCGCATATATTTTAGTACAAACAACAGTTGGCTGTCACGATTACCAGACATTAATGGGAAGTTATATAAGCAGTGGAAGCACCTGTCACATTATATCCAGTTCTTTTCTCAGAAACAGTGACTGTGGTAGTGACTCAGTATATATGCGGCAAAGAGAGCAGTTCAGCAAATACAGATACAGAACAAAAATAAATCGGTAGTTCTTTGTCTGAAGCAAGAAATTCACTAAACTCTGCTTAATGTTTTCAGTTGCAACTTAAACCTTGGTCTCAATTAACATTCTTTAGGAACAAAATGATTATCCCTACCGGCAAGATTTAATTAACTGCAGAGGAGTTATTTCTACCTGCCACATTTGTTTAACAACTCAATTAAACATTTATCGTTCAATACATTGGTCAACACCTTTGATCTTAAAAAAGAAAATCTTTGAATGACAGTTGACAGCATGCCATTGCTGTGCAACAGGTTAGGCAAAGAGTACTTGGCTGCAGGTGAAAACAGAGATTGAACACATCATACAAAATTTGGCACAGGAGCAGATCAGCCAGAGGGTGTAACGCTCAACTTGGCTGTAGTTTTATGTCTTGAAATGGTAAATGGCCTGTATTTGTATAGCGCTTTTACTAGTCCCCCCCTAGGGACCCCAAAGCGCTTTACACATCCAGTCATAACCAGAAATGTCATAACCCTTCAGATGATGCTCCAGAGCAACCTTAAATTGCTACTCACAGAATTAGTTTCACTGTGGCTTGTGCATACTGTATGTTAGATTGTCCATTAGTCCCAGGATTGGGGTTTGATAACTTTGTAACAAGTTACCTTTGAGTTAATAATTTGGGAAATTTACCTTGTCAGATTGAAAAAAAAAAAGCAAGGTGACATCAGAAGTTGTTACAGTAAGTGATTGACCACTTTGAATTTAACACTTTAGGTAGTTAATAGAAGATGATTAAAAGAGGATGTAAATTAAAACACATGACCTGCCCTTATTAATCATATAACTGTGACTTATTCAATCTTAAATGCTTGAAGCTATCCATAACATTTCAAATCTGTTTTTCTTCATGTCAGTATACTCACAGTATACTCATACTGTGAGTATATAGATGTGGCCAATTTGTGTGTGAGAGAAAGGACGTTTGCTTAAATTCAAATATTAATAATTTGGCAAAAGATTACATAATAAAATGTAAGCAATTTAAAAAACCTAAACAAAAACATAAAAGTTAAGTTTGTAGCAATTGGTCGCATGTCTGTTTAACATTATACACAGCAGCAGAGCAATAACTAGGTGAGTAATTGATGACTGTTTTTAAAAGTAACCAAGCCTCTTTCCCCTAGGCCTCTTACCTGGAGAGAAGGGCCTGTATTGGACAAGCACCAAATCGCTTCGTGATGTTTTATCTCACGAACAAATGCTATGACCCCTGAGCATCAAATAGCTTTCTGTCTTAATTCAAGAGAAAGATTCCAAGGACGATAATGTTAAAAGGGATGCGTATGTTTATTTGTGTGCTTTTTCATGCAGGTTGCTATGCCTTGAGTGAACAAACACACAGCCCTTTCCCTGACAGCATTCCCTTTCAGTTTAGCTCACTGATAGCCAGTGATTGTTGTAAAAGGACAACAAATGTGTTGGTTTTTTTCAAATGTTTCCATTTTCTTTTATGCGCTTCCTCTGAATCATGTTTCACCTGGATTAATAAATTCTGTTGAACTTCATCCTGCCTTAATGTTTGACTTTCAGTAGCAGTTATTTTTAGTCAGCAGTAAAGGCAATAAACATGGGTGTGGGGCACTGAGTAATAACACAAGGTTGTGACGTTGTAGCAGTCAGCTAAATGGGTCTAAAGGTTTCACATATAAAGATAAAAAAAAGTGGGTGGTTTTCATTCTGTTATGTGAGTTCATAATCACACAATTTCTCTCATTTGCTTCAGAACAAAATGTTTTCCTGCTGATAATCAGCAAAAACCCAACAATTACATTTCACAGGATTTTACCTACTACTTCATTTTAACCTCTGATTCCAGCACATTACGTTTAACTGCAGCTAACTTTTTCATCGATGGACTGGATAGATGATTTATTTATTTATTTATTTATTTTTTAGTTGGTTGGTTGGGTAGAGTTGGCAATGGGGAAGCAGTGTTAAAGTAAATATAAAGTAAAACTAAATGAAGTAAAGCTAGACTGTATAGGAGAGGAATGTCACGGAGTCTCTCGCTGTTAGAATGTGATGCACAAATTGGTACATGTACATTTTTAGTAATTGGGAGGATGAAACCTTTAAGGTATTTTTAATCCTTTTTTTCCTGTGCTAAACCTAAATCTTCAGCCCCCAATGTTCAAAACACCCTTTTCTTCTCAAAGTCTCTCACACTGAGCTCCAACAGGCCACCAAAGGGGATTCCCAGTACAATGTGACCAGAATGAGCTCACCCCAACCCCCCCCAATAAAAGCTAGATCATGTGTTTTGTGTTTTCCGTGTCTTATCTTTGTCATCTGCTCACTCTCTCTTTCTCTGTCATGCACCATGATAGAAAAGGAGTAGGGGCCCTCTCAGTAAAGAAATGCAGCGAAGCGTTAGTGTATGACCAAACAAATGACGACTCTTTATCTTATAAGAAATGGTTTAAGTCAAATTAGGGCTTCTTTTTCTTCACTCATCGCCACATGAGAGAGTTATATGAGCCATAACCTGTAATGCTACTGGGAACAAGGAAGAAGGAGGAAGAAATCAGTTTAGTCTCTGTTTGTTCCTTATTTTATGGACAATCCATCACCTCAGTCAACAGGTTTAACAGGTAACATGCTTGAACTTTGAGCAGCTAGAGCGCTCTGATTTGACTGAGCAATCTTGTGATGCCATCTTGTGGCAGAGCAATCTACACGCATGTGAGCGCCTGATGATTGACTTGCAAACTGCACAAAGGCCAGGCGATGTCGTCCTAGAACCGTGGAGCCTGCATACAACCAACGCATTGTAACGCATCAGTGTAAAGTAATACATTTACGCATGGATTTATCATTATCATTAGATAGATAGATAGATAGATAGATAGATAGATAGATAGATAATTTATAAAAGCAGAAAGCTTTGACCATGTTAACCTTAATTAAGGCTTCCTTCATATCTGACTAAAGCATTAATTAATTAAATCGAGATTATTATTCTTATTATTATTACATTAGCACCTACAACATCTTTTTTATTTAAAAAATGTAAAAATTTGGCCTTTATGGTCTTTGCATATGCATACTAAGGCCCTTGACATTGTATTTTTAATAAGCCCTTGAATTTCTGTGGGTAATAATTGCTGAACTAAGTAACACCAAAGACAGTAAAGCCAATAAAAACAAATTCCACTAATTTCCCGAAGTTGTCGCCATTGCAAAAATATGTTAACAAGACCGGTGATCATCTGCAGTGAGTGTCATTGTTTGTCTGAGATGGGTGTTCCCCAGGGGGCGTGTCCCGCACCTGAGCTCTGCGTGCAGCACACAAAATGAGGCAGCCAGAGCAACAGCTGTCAGCTGTCAGTAAGTCTTTTCTGCCCCTCGCCTGTTTTCATCGGCTTTGAATGATCAGTGGGGAAGAAGACCCGACTCACTCGGCCCTCTGACGTTACCCAGTAGACTAGAGATGGCGAAGAGGAGTTCAACCAGAAAGTCTCTGAAAGGTTTGTTCTCCAAGAGCGAAGCCAACTTGGACGAATCGGTGGAGAAGGATGTGCAGAAAAATGAAGGGGAGAAGAAGAAGTTCAAGTTGTTCAAATTCAAGACAAAGTCCAAGAACGACTCTGAGAAGTCAGCTAATGACAGCCAGAAGGTGCTCAGGTATGCTTACCCAGTGTCGTGATGTTGACTCAGTGACCTGTTTTGCTGTATTGCTCAAGGGGTAATAAGCAGCTTCTGACGCTTTAAAGAGCAGCAACGCTTCAGATAAACTTTAGTTTTCAGCAAGTAGCCTGCGCCTGCTGTTTCCATTGGTAGCCTAAATGAAAAGTCCCAATTAAGCAATCCTCACTGCTGTGAAAAAAAAAAAAAAGTTGAGATGTTTCTAGACTGTGAGCTTTTGGGCAAACATCCCAACAACTTTTGAAATAGGTAGTACACTTAAATATAATTATAGCGCCACAAGGGACTTTAGAGTTGGATAAAAGTAAGCGCATACTTAGCTTAGCACTGTCCCCTTCAGCAGAAACATGCTTTTTGCATATTTGTCCACAGTCTTATGATATGGCATGCTGGAAACTGATATCGAGCTTGCATGCAAAAAAAAAAAAAAAAAAATTCAGCAGCAAAACGTTTGCATGTGTCCTCGGTTTGTAACCCCCAATAATTCAAATCTGGTGCTTAACTAGGCCATTTCACAAGCCCCACCCACATATTTCTGCTTTTGAGGCAAAGTTCTGTTAGAAAAATCACCTTGAAGCTCAAATTCAATCTTCAGGTGGAGTGTTTCATTTTACCATTATCTGATATAATGCAGAATTCAAACCAGACGAAAATAGTCAAATGGAAAGCCGTCCAGTGTAAACCTAGGTTTTTTTTTCTATATTGGTCGTTTAGACTTTTCTGTCAGGGCCTCCCTCACAGGCCCATTTTGTGCTGTCTATTCATAAATTATAGCTGTGCATGAGACCCCAACGGTTTCAGGAGTTCTAAGTCATAAAAAACAGGATATGTTCATTTTATTCTCCAGGGTAAACATTGACTTAGTTGATCTGGTTGGTAGATTTCAACCTTACCTTGAGGTCTTAGGTGTTTCATAGTAGGTGGCAGGTAGCAGAATAAAATGTGTGAATGGTGAATTTGGTCACAAATGTTTGCAAAGCAATAAACAAGACATGCTTTAAAGCTGTAAGTATGTATAAGTCACCATTGGGTGTTCATATAGACACAGGTGGGGTGGAGGTTAAGCTACTAATCACAGGCCAGGACAATAGAATCATATTGTTCATGTGTTTGAAGACGAGCACCAGTGACAGTTTGTGTTTGCACAGAGAAAAATAAACAGCGAGCTGACACTGTGACTGCCTTTGCACATGGAGGTTATGCAAGGGTAAAGTTTTTAAACGATGCATAAAAAAATCATGCATCATTCAAAAATAATAATGGATTGCGTTTATACAGCGCTTTTCGGGGCCCTCAAAATGCTTTACTATCCACTATTCATTCACTCTCACATTCACACACTGGTGGAGGCAGCTACAGTTGTAGCCACAGCTGCCCTGGGGCAGACTGACAGAAGGGAGGCTGACATATCGCGCCATTGGCCCCTCTGGCCAACACCAGTAGGCGGTAGGTGAAGTGTCTTGCCCAAGGACACAACGGCCGAGACTGTCCAAGCCGGGGCTCGAACCGGCAACCTTCTGATTACAAGATGAACTGCCAACTCTTGAGCCACGATTGCCCTGATAATCAATAAAATATTGCAGTAGTGTAAACATAAAGCGGAATGAAACATATATTCAGGTCAGTCTTGGTAGTCTTTTATCCACTGATTGTCTATACAAGCCACATCTAGAAATCATTTTATAAACTATTAAGTGCAGAATTACATTACATTGTTTTGCTGTGAATGAAAGGATTTTTTTAATTGTTGACACTGTGGATGGGCAACCAAGATAGACTTGTTTCCAGATGTAGACTGAATCTGTTTTTGTTATTAGTTTGAGGATTTCGTTTTAATCCATGTTCCAGATTTTATCTATCAAGACTTGAGGATTTCATCTAAGAAATAATCTTCATTTTATTGTTTGTTTTGACTCCCATCTCTTTTCATAAAGTTGAAGGGTGAGGTCAAAGTCACACTGGATGTGTTGGAAACCTTACCACCAGTGTATTACGTTGCAGGAAACTTGAAATTCTTTTTTCAAACAAACCACACACACCCACTCTTTAGGTTGTCGTGCGCTTGTGTGGCTTTATGGATTAGTGGAAGTTCTGTAGACAAACCTGCCGCTCCACATGCCTGTTGCATTATCATGAAACTACAAATCAATTGGACGGACAAGCTACACTATTGTGTTTGGTGATGCATGCTGGTAACATTTATGTCTCAGCACAAGGGTGTTTAATACATCAGGCTGAGTTCACAATAAGTCACTGTATTGTTGAACCTGTTATGTCTGTTCCAGAAGAGTAAGCAAGGTAAAACTCAATGCGTGTTGAGTTAAGAATGCTGTATTTTGGCAGTGTTTTCTTTTTCTTCACACCACTGCATTAAATTGTATAACAAAGTGCTGAAAAATGGATCAGTAAAGTCAGAGAAGGCCTTGTACTTAAAACAAAGGATGTGCTTTGAGCAGTGCATTGCTACACAATGCTGTTTAAGTCATTCATATGTGCATATTTGTTCTATTCAGTCAGTTCTTGGTGATAAAGGTACATTGATTCCACTTGACAAGGACAGTCTAGTTGATAACTTCAAATACTATTTCAGAGATAAGATGTCAAGAATAGGTTTTCTGCAGCTCTTATTGGAAATGTGTTTTCACAATGAGATCAAATTATTGCTAATTGTTGTGCATGATGAGTTTGGGCATTGTTTATTTATTTTGTCTTTTATGGCATTTCCTGCTTTCCAGTAACAATACACAGGCAGTAGCATAGAATGCTTTTGATAGAATATTGATAGTAGGACAACAGCAGCTTTTGAGGGATGTTATTTTCCCTGAGGATTCACAGGAAATGAAGGCTCTGCTGAGCCTTCTTTGCCAGCTTCCCTCTGTTCACACCCCAGGACAGGTCCTTGTGATGTGAGCTCCCAGGAAGTGGAAGTCCAACACCAACACCATTGATGTAAAGTGGTTTAATGTCTGTTTTCTTTTTTCTGAAATCCACAACAATCTCCTTGGTTTTGGTTGTGTTCAGTAGCAGGTTGTTGTCCCTGCACCAACCTGTCGTCCGCACCACTTTGTCCCTTTAGGCAGAATCGCCCCTACTAGAAATGACATCACAGTGGTGTCGTCTGCAAATTTGACAATAGTGATACTGTGATGAGTGGGGGAGCACAGTCGTAGGTGTACAGTATGAAGAGCAGGGGGCTCAAATTTGTCATGGGGGAAATCAAATCAAATGTGGGAGGGATGAAGGACATGATATGATCCAGACCAGTCTCTCAATGCACTTCAGCACCAGGGTGAGCACTACTGGCCGGTCATACAGGCAGGTTGCAGTAGATTTATTTATTTTTTTTCTTTGGTAAGGGGACTATGATGGGTGGGACACCTCAAAGCGAGCAAAGAAGTGGTTCAGCTCCTCTGCTGCCGTTTCTAAAAAATCAAAAGCCAAATTAAAAAACTGTCTCGCTATATGTTGGTTTTTTTTGTTGTTTTTTTTTTGTTGTTGTTGTTGTTTGTTTTGTTTTTTGTTTTTTCCTTTCCCAGATTGAAAATTGTGATGGGTCATGTGGTTGGACTTCATCAGAGTTCTCAACACCTCCCATGCCAACAATTGTGAGAGTAAATGTTATCCAAAATTTGAGAACTGCTCTTCCAAATAACTGTCAACACTGCACTTCTTTGCATCTTTATCAATACACTTGCCACACAAATATGGATTTTATTTATTTATTTATGTTTTTAAACTGTGGGATGTTTTCCTGCAGATGACAAAAAAACCGTCATTAACACTTTTATTGTGTCTGTATTCTAAAAGAAAGCGCGTGATTGTGGTGATGAGCATCAAATGGTGATAGCTGTGTATTCTAAATAACACAACAGTTAAACATGAAGGTGTTATACGTTAAAAGAGTTGTGTTAAAGTGGTGATGCCAACAGCTGGCAATAAGGCTCTCTTGAAAAACTAGCAACATGTTTGTTTTGGTGTGGATTAATGAATAATCAAGTATTCATTTACAGTGTTTACTCACTACTAGGTGGTTTAATAAGAGCGGGTATTACTTTCTGATTTGACACTGCGTGCACACAGAGCATTAGAATAAAGTTTCACATAGACAAGACCATGAACATTTTTTTTTTTAAAAAACATGAACTTCCAGATGTAGTTTTTACATAGTAAAAGGATCAAACTTATAAAGGCTCAGTAACCCAGGCACCGAAATAATGCATTGGCATTGTACATAATAATTAGGTCATCCAGGCAAAAGACGGACGAGCTCTTACCATGTTTATTCGTCCTCCATTCTGCATGTCGACCGTTCACAACAATCATTACAGGCAGTAGGACTTGGACATTTGGTCAGACTTTGGTGAAGTTTGAACACAGTGATAACCTGATGGCTCTTCACCCAAACTGTGGTGAAGATGAAGGGCTTATTTGTCATTTAGTGGTAATAACCTGTCAATCGTGATGGATTATGAACTGGATGAGGTCCTGGTGTTACGAGTGTGCAAAATACATTTCTCAACTTTTCTGTGTCTGTGGGTGTGTGAGAAAGTCATTGTTTTAACTGCTTTTTGTGTTGCTTTTAGGGGAATAGGATTATTTCCTTCTGCTTGGGGACCAAGATGGAATCATTTCAGGGATTAAAGATTATGTTCACAATTTAATGAGAGTAAAATTGTGAAATATTCAACATTAAGGAATACAGGAAATCTAATTTGGCCAAAAGGTGGATTGCATTTTTGTTCTACAGGCTTGAAATATGTGGTGTAATGAAAAAGTGTAGTTTTCATAATCGGCTAGTATAGAAGAAGCCCTCATTCTCTTCACTCAAAGGTGACACAGTTGGTGAAGGACTAACGAGTATCTAGTACTAGCAGTATAAAAGTTACTTTTGTTTCTGAAATGTTAAAATTATGGGTCATCTAATGGAACTGTAGAGTAGTGGGTCATTTGTGACTACAGAGTAAAAAAATTACACCCATGTTTGTGTATGGGGTTAGCTTAGAAGACTGGGTAGGCAGGTAAATAACTATGATTTAAAGACTTCATGCTGAACTAAGCTGATCACCACCCATCTAACAATTTACCATGCAGATGTGTTAAAAATGTGAAACTCTTCTTTTAAAGTAGTAACTATTTTTGTGTGTTTGCTTCAGGACTTCAGTAGGCCTGATTTTTATCTCTTAACACTCTCACATTGCACAGCACAGATAGAAAGTACAGGAAGCACTTTGAACTTCATCAAAGGAAGACCTTTTATTTTTTTCCCATTTTTTTCCACAAGTCTAAGCTGTGGCATTTTCACACAGTGAAAGGCTTTGCACATTTTTGGGTGTCTTGTGTGTTGATATGTAAACAGCAGCGGGGGCGAAGATATGACTCATCTTCTTGTTCTAGGACATCTCTTCTACCAGAAACTACTCCTGTGTCTCAGATACTGCAGTGGTTACTTGACTGATTCTTGGGTTGCCAACCACAGGGGGGACAAAACAAAACAAAAAAAACCCTTTGTGTGACTAAGGCAGCCTGTGCATATCAGATTTTATCAGTAAAGCTACAAAAAAGACTGAGCAGTTTTCACCTAACTCTACAGTACACATAAAGGCCAAATGCATATTCATGCGTACTTGTGGCAAATAAGTGTGTTTGGATTAGAAGAGTTTCAACACAGTGATCTATAAATTGTGACAGCTCCGCGTGTTTGCTTGTCATTTGGCTTCTTGTCTGAGCATCCGGTCGTGTAAAGCGGAAAAATCCTGCGCATAAAGAGACCTTTGTTGTGCTTGTTTAATGAAGTGACAGCTTGTGATTATTGATGGAGCTTCTCTGTTGACTTTGAAGCCTTTGTAGCGGTACATGAATTAGAGGCCGTGCTGATGACCCAACAAAGGCAGCACCTGTCGCTCCACTTGGTTGGTTGGTCCAATTGGTTATTCAGTTCAATTAAAAAAAAAAAAACTTTTTTCTTTACAGTGTTTTTTAGGTGTCAGCGTACGTTTTTAAGTACGTGATCTATCCTAATGGCCTAATTTTCCTTTGTTCGCAACATTGATCTCAGTTCTAAGAAGCACCAGCTCACTTTCTGTGTAGCCGGTTCTGTTCTGCATTCCATTAGCAGTGATTTACTGCTTCATTTTGTTAAGCAACAAAAATTGCACCCTCTGTAATGCACACACTGGATGGCAAACAATAAATCTGTCAATATATACACACACACACACACACAAGAGTACATGAGTTACATAAGCTTCCTCATAGTTTTGAGCATAGCCTATAATTTACTTTGTTACACTGTAAGTAGTACAAATTCTGTAATTGGGGTCAGTCAATCATGGATGTTCTTTCAGCACATTTCCGATCAATTCACTTTTTATTTTTATTTTTATTTTTTAAACTTTGTACTCCTCAGAGCTGTTGCGAACAGTAAGACCGCAGACGACGAAGAGCCCGGTTCTGTCAACAATGGCCCAGACAGCAAGCTGCCTCCTGTTTATGCCACCGCACCTAGGGTTAAGGTCAGTGAAGATGATGTAACTAGTGAGCTCTTTTTCACATGCAGTTATTGGAAATTTTGTATATTCTATTTATTTTTTGGTAACTACACTGAAAAATTGTGTATTATGTTACATAAAGATAACATTTTAGTCAGCAATTTAAAAAAAAAAAAAAAAAACAAGTAGTAAACTATAGCAGCTGTAGGAGTTCATTAATATGTTCATTAATATGTGGTGCTGATACAAACATCCCTGTATGAAGGTTTGAGGGTTGTTTTTTTGTTTTTTTTTTTGCATAAGTCTTGCATATTTAATTTCAAATCTCCAGTTTCATAATTAAAAAATAAGTAATGAATATATTTATTTTAAAATACAGTAATGCTCTTCTTTTGTTTTGTTTTATTGCTTCTCAGCTTTTGAACCCAAATATAAGCAGCAGTATCTTTTTGATATTTCTCCCTAAACCTGCAGTGTCATGGCTCTGAATAAAGTAGGATAATGTTAGACAGCCACTATAGATGACAAGTGTTTTGTCAAACTTGGCAACTGAAAGCTCATGGCTGACTGCCCAACATGCAACAAGTTTAAAGTCACCACTCTGCCCTGCCCTCAGATGATCATCATTATGAAAAGTGTTACCAGTTTCCTCATAAGATGTTATCTGCACCTCATTTGTTTCCGGCAATTCTCTATCTCCACCTCCCTTTTTTTTAAATTTTAATTTATTGTTGTAAATGAGAAACTTTCACTATTATTTTTTTTCCACATAGGAAACTGAACTAGGCTCTACAAGGCTGTAAATTACCCAGAACTAAAGACTGAGGGTAAAAGCAGGATGTTCACATGAAATGTGATAGAGCCGACTCAAACTACAGTTTCACTTTTATGTCTCACACGCAAGTAATCCTAGATGATACGTTTCCTTTTTTGACACAAGTTTGTGAATAAAATCCAGTTGTTGCTGTATCTTTAAATCTTCCCCTCTCGGATTGCAGGACGAATCTAAAGTTTTTCTCTGAGCAGTC